GAGTGAGTGAATGGTTGTTTGTCTCGTTTGTCTCTGTGTCCCTGTGATGGACTGGAGACCTGTCCAGGGTGTCCCCCGCCCCTCGCACAGTGATTGCTGGACATGGGCACCGGCGACCCCCGTGACCCAAAAATGGAAGAAGCGGGTAAAAGAAAATGGATGGATGGATGGGTGGATTTTGCACAGTGAGTAACACTTGGATTACAAATTGAGACAGAGTGACAAGCACATCAAATATTAACTGAATATTTGTAAAGTGACTGAATTATAAGAATGTGGTTTTTGTTTTCTTTTATCTAAAAAGTGGATGTGATGGCAATGACTCCAAAAATTAATTAGCTATAAATATACATCCAATGATTATCTCCAAACATTGAAGTTTGTCCAGTGATTCTTGATATTTTGCCAACAGACACAGACTCAATAATAACTGTATTATCAAGGTTTTAAACAAAGGACGGTTAGTGCTCAAAACATGTCCCATCCGTCTTAGCTACACAAAGTTTTAGGTCAGTATCTGTAAATTACACTAACATCCAATTTTGAGTTGTTGTTTTTTTAATCAAAGACTTTTTATTAACACAAACAACAGAACAGAAAAACAAACAAAAAACTCACGCCCCTCCCCACTAACACCAGATCAGCTACACATACATAAATGTCTTATACTGGGATTTACATATTTTCGACATATGACACAAAAGGCTGCCAGGTGTCCCAGAATGTTTTTGCAGAACCTTTCAGGGTATATCTGATTTTTTTCTAAATGAATATAATACATTACTTCTCTTATCCACTGTTCACATGCTGGGGGCTGGGGGCCCTTCTAGTTGCACACAATGAGCGTCCTGGCCTGAAGAGAGCCAAACACAATCACTTCCTTCTCCTACTTGCTGAAGGACTTATCCACAGGGGCCACCCCAAACAGGGAGATGAGTGGGAATGGGTGTACAGTTTTTCAACAAATCATTAGAGGAGGTGTCAAAATTGCCAAAAAGTCCACAGTTTGGGTCAGGTCCAGCATGTATGCAGGAGTGTAGCTGGAGTTTGTTTATAATGATTACATACAGGGTTGAGGTCAGTTTTGATCTTAGACAGCTTGTCTTTGGACCAGTGCAGCCAGTGCACCACCTTGAATTGAATTATAGCATGTCTCAGATTGATTGGGGATGAATATATGTTCTGAATGATCTTTCACCAGACTGCGTCTGATATGGGTTCCTCCAGGTCCATTTCCCTTTTCAGTTTAAGAGATTCCAAACTGGTCTCATGGTCTGAGTTGAGCAGTGTATAGATCTTACTAAGGGCCCCCTTGGTATCAGACCTGCATTCCAAAATCTTAACCACAAAATGTTTAGAGGGGTAAAAAGGGAAACAATCAGTTAGACCTCACAAAATGTCTCAGCTGAAAATATCTGAAAAACTGTGACTTGTGAATATTAAACTTCTGTACCAGCTGCTCAAAAGCGGCAACTCTCCCATCATCATAGAGCTCACAACATGATCACACCCCCCTCAAGACCCAGGTGTCAACAGCTGTATCAGATACTGAGGGAGTAAACAGGATTATTTGATACAGGTGCCACAAACAGTAACTCTGTAGAGTTAAATGCCCTCCTGAAAACTGATTCCAGATCTTAACCATCCAGATCACAACTGGGTTAGAAGTGTAGGTTGATACTGACTGTTTGAAGGCAGCTGAGAGCAGAGTAATGCAGAGGGGGTGCTAGATCTAATTGAGGCCCTCTCCAAGGCCACCCAACTGGGAGAAGGAGACATTTTTGAGTTTTTAATGATGGTTGGCTGAGGTAACCATCTTGACTGAGGTTGACTTAAAAATATATTTACTTGTAGATGCTCATCTGTTTCTTACTTTCAGCACTTTTTAAAATTTGTCCACTTTTCCATGACATATTAACAGTTACACCAACCCATGCACATGTGAATGTAAGCTCACACAAACATTATCACCCACCTTCACCTTTAAGTTTTGAGCTATCAACATTTAAATTGATTAAATTGATTTTTCTTAAACAGTCATTTAAGCAATAATATTTCTTAAATCATCATCATCAATTAAAACATATTAGTCAAATCTTTCTTGTCTACATTTGCACAGGAATCCAACAAAACTGATGTGTTTTTTTCCCCAAGAGAAAATGTAGTAAAAAAAAAGATCTTTTCATTTTAACGATCAGTAGGTTCCTGTACAGCAGAGGCTCACCCAGTTTCCACCAGGTCCCATATCCAAGTCTCTGGGAAGAAAGTGCGGACTGTCTCGATTGGTTCAGCGCTGGGAGCGAGGGATCCTCCAAGCCCTGGAGGCCCGCTCATAGCTATTCTGTCTGGCGCAGCCATTGCATTCACTCTTGAATACTGAACACCAAACCCACTGTAACCTGTAAAAAACCAAACAGGATCAAATTAAATTAGTCATGTCACACTTGACTGGTAATGAAAAGTTACCATGGTGGCATACCTAAATGATATTCTCTTCCCTTAAATCTGAGGCAGGAGGGCACTTTTATTTGCAAGTTTGTTGCCACCTTCAGCCCTACATCCTGCATAATCCACATAAACATGCAAAGTTATGCTTTAACTGCATTAAAACAACACAAATACTATTTTATGAGCTGAGCCATTTGACTCTGGGGTCTATATCAATGGAGAAAACTCCACACTGTTTCTAAAGTCTCATTAAATTTCAATTGCAGGAACAGAATGACTGGTTTTGGATACAATGACTTCAAAAACTATAGTGTACTGTATCTCAAAAATGGTAGCCAGCCCATGTCCAGTAGGAGCCTGGACGTTTACAATAATTTATTCACGTTCTACATTTGCTGTTAAAACCATACCTGGAAAATTTTATGGGCATCTTTCTGATCTTCACCAGGATAAGGCAGAACATATCTCTTTGGCCTCATATGTAAACATGGTGTGGAGTCTTGAATTTGATAAGGGGTATATGTTACTTTTCTGACAGGCAGCAAGTTGAAAATCTAGGGGAAAAAAACAACAAAAAACTAACATTACTTAAAATACATATACAATCATACATAACAGAATACATATCACCCAGTGCGTTTTATGCCACAGTTTTAGACTAAGACCTTCTAATGCTGAGAAATGACATTAAAGACGTTTTGGTCACTTGTGTAAATTACTTCAATCAGTATGCCTGTGATACTTCCATCTCCGTCTACTACTACTACTGCTTGTCTATAGTTGGGTTGCAAAAGCAACACATCAAGGAGAGAAACCCAGACATCCCTCTCCCCAGTGACACTTTTCAGCCCGTCCTGGGAGTGCCCAAGGTGCTCCAAGACCAGAAATTATGCACAATCCCTCCAGTGAGTTCTGGGTCTGCCCTAGGTCTTATCAGTGGGATGTGCCAGGAAAACATGCAAAGGGGGCATCTTATTCAGATGCCCAAACCACTTCAACTGACTCCTTTCAATGCAAAGGAGCAGTATCTCCTCCCCAGGCTCCTCCTGGATGACAATGCTCCTCACCCTATCTCTAACGCTGAGTCTGGCCACCCTATGAAGGAAGCTCATTTCATCCATTTGTATGTGGGATCTCATTTATTCAGTCATGATTGAAACCTCATGACTATAGTAGAGGGTTAAAATGTAGACAGACCAATAAACTGAGAGCTTGGTCTTTCGACCGAGCTCTTTCTTCACCTTTGACTGACCGAAGCAATGCCCTCATTAATGAGGACAAGGCCCCAATCTGTCAATCCATCTCCACCTCCATTCTACCATCACTTGTGAACAAGACACTCGGATACTTAATCTCCTCCACCTGAGGCAAAGACTCAAACCCAACCCGGAGGGAGCATATGTCCCATTTCTGGTCAAGTATTTCTGTGTTCTAATGAAATATTGCATGATTCCTTAGTGCTTGAAGTATGTGTTCAGGATGACTTCTAGCAATGGAGTTTTAATCATTTTTGTATTTTCTCAGGTCAGTTGAATTTGGAGGCATCTTTGAATTGTGATATTTTCAAAAGTCAGTTGGTTGATGTACATCCAACTTTGTAAAAATTCCATTATAATCCTTACAGTTGTTTATAAAATATTTTGTTAACAGATTTGACTAAACTCCAACATTTAATGTTAAATTTGAGGCAAAGCTCACACTAAGTCATTCTTGAGTTTATGTGTACACTACACAATTTCTTTGCAAAATACCTATGAAACTGACCTATTGAGTTAGAGACAATTTTGCATTTTAGGGTCTATTTATTGTAGTAGTCATTTATCAGGTTGACTTCAAAAAATAGTCACTGGTAGATGTGCATCTAATGAATGCTTTGTGTTAATTAATAAAAATGTGTCTAGTGATACAAAAGATACTTTGGTAAACTCACACCCAAACATGGGCTAAAACATTTATCACATGCCTTTGCCTTTTGGTGGCGGGTGATAAACATGGCAATCTTTTAATAAAAGTAATATATGTAATGTAATAATATGTATAATATGTAATGTAATAGTAATGTATAATATTTACTGTACTGTAAATAATCTGCCATTCTCAATGTTCCAATACTTATTGAACATTATTATTGATATTGTTTATCTTATTTCTTATAAATTATATTGTTTATTAACATTTTAGGAACTTTTGTGTGAAATCTTTAAATCTTTTTATCTTATTATCTGTTGCTGCTGTTGCTGCTGATACACTGGAATTTCCCATCCGTGGGACAATAAAGGCTGTTTCTATTCTTCTATTCTATTCTGTTCTATTCTATTCTATTCTATTCTATTCTATTCTATTCTATTCTATTCTATTCTATTCTATTCTATTCTATTCTGTTCTGTTCTATTCTATTCTATTCTATTCTAATACATAAATACATAAGAGAATCCAAGACCTTTCCATTTAATCTTAAAGCATGTATAAAGTTAAAGCTTGCTAAAAGCTAATTTGTTAGCAGTTACCTTATCAGCATTCAGAGTCTTTCCCGGCTCTTTGACGAGGACACTCTGATCGACGGCACTGACACCACACAAAGAATCTGGCTGAGCAGACAGATGCATTTTGGTCTCCTCTCCTGGCACAGCAGAAGATGTAGAAAACTCCAGTGACACCTGATGTGAACATACAAACAAAATTAATCTCATTTTCTTTACACTTTGGAGGCATCAAAAGATGACTCGACAATAAGTCACCAATCCATACTATTACTTCTATTATTCATTATTCATTCACCACCAAACTAATAATCAGCTAAGTATTTAACTTGTGAGAATTTAGAGGACACTTGCATATTTGTAACAATGCATTGTATTGTTTTTATGTCAAAACCCTTATCTTCTGTAGTAGTTTCATAAGGGACTGATTGAAGCAAACTTTGATTTGATCTTCTTCTTCTTCTTCTTCTTTCGGCTTTCCCTCTTCACGGGTCTCCACAATGAGTCATCCTCCTCCATCTCACTCTGCCCTCTGCATTCTCTGTCCTCACTCCAAGTACCTCCATGTCCTCTCTAACTCCATCAATATGTTTCCTCTTTGGCCTTCTTCTTTGTCTTTTTCATGGAAGCTGCATTTCTAACAGCCTTCTACCAATATACCCACTGTCCCTCCTCTGGACATGTCCAAACCATCTCAGTCTGGTCTCTCTAACTTTATCTTCCAGTTGTTCAACCTGTGCTGTATCTCTGATGATCTCATTCCTAATCACATCCATCCTTGCCACTCCTAAGGAGAACCTCAACATCTTCGTTTCTGCCACTTCCAGTTCTTTCTCCTGTCTTTTTGTCCATGTCTCTGTCTCCAGACCATATAATATAGCTGGTCTCACCTCTGTCTTGTAAACTTTTCTTTTGACCTTTGCTGACACACTTTTGTCACAAATCACTCCTGAAACTTTTCTCCATCCACTCCATCCTGCTTGAATTCTCATTTTCACCTCTTTACCACACACCCCATATTCCTGGACACTGGACCCAAGTACTCGAAGTCCTGCACCTTCTTGGCTAACCTCTTTCTTTGAAAAGCTCCCTACACTGCACTATACCTGTCTAAATAAAGGTTGAATGAATTCCACCACCAGGTTTCCTTATCTCTGTCCAGATGACACACCAATTACCTTCCTACCTGTATCTCTAATTACTCTTGCTGTAGTAGTCCAGTCATTTGGAAGCTCTTTCTTACCACCCAGAGCCTTTAACAGCTCCTCTCTGAATTTCTCACAACATTCTTCCTTTTTCAGCTTCCACCATTTGGTCTTCTTCTATGATTTTCTTCTCTTTCTCTTCTTCACAACAACAGTCATTATACACACACAACCATCGGATGCTGTCTGGCCACGCTCTCCCCTGCCAAAACCTTACAGTCCCCAATGTCCCTCAGGTTTCCTCTTCGACACAGAATGTAGTCGACCTGCGTACTCCTTCCTCCACTCTTATAGGTCACTGTATTGCCCCTTTTCCATAGTACCTCTTAGTACCGGTACAGTATGGTTCAACTTGACTCAGTATGGTACATGTTGTGTTTCCATAGCCCCTTTCATTATGCTTTCAGTACCGGTTCCAGTGGGCAGGGCTCAAATTGACATCACGCGCCTTACCAGCTGGTGGCGGTAAGACCTTGGAAACAGGTTTCAGTACAGGGTGAGAATTTATTTTGAAGTTTCTGGTAAATTAAAAAGAATACAGATTATTAAACGGATATACATATATATTTATATATATATATATATATATATATATATATATATATCCTTCTAATAAACTTATAATGAACTTTTTATTTCACCATTAAATCTCTGATGAACCAGATTCTACAAAATCATCTATATTTAAAATTTTCTAGCTTTTCTTCATAGTTTTATGTATTTGCACTCGTTTCGACTTTTATTGTTCAATTTAGATGTGTGGTTTTGTTTCTTGATCACAGATATTTATTTTATTTAGCTTTGCTTTAAAGTTTAATGCTTGTTTTGTGATTTATACATCTGTGGGTCAGAATAAAGTTGGAACTAAAAGCTGTATCTCTTCTTTAAACATTTTTGAGGGAAATATTCCAGAGAGATCCAAAAATTTTGTGTCTTTTTATGATTTTTTCAGCTGAGTTAACTTTAACAGATTATTTTAATAGTCATTAAAGTGAAAACAGAATTTCATGATAAAGCCGGCACCATTTATTTATTGTAATTGTCACTGATAAAAAATATATATATATATATATATATATATATATATGTATATATACTTTTTTTTTCTCCTCCTTGAATCGCCACCTTGTTGTGGTGGAGGAGTTTGTGTGCCTGAATGATCCTAGGAGCTATGCTGTCGGGGGCAATTAAAATGGCCCCTGGTAGGGTCTCCCATGGCAGATTGGTCTGAGGTGACAGGCCAGACAAAGAGCGATTCAGAAAAATTTCATGGACGAGACAAAACAAGGAACTCAGTGTCCCTTGCCCGGACGTGAGTTACCGGGACCCCAACGTGGAGCCAGGCCTGGGGGAGGGGCTCATTGGCGAGTGCCTGGTGACCGGGTCTCTACCTATGGGGCCCGGTCAGGCTCAGCCCATAGTAGCAGTATAGGTTTGCCTTCCTGTGGACCCACCACCAGCAGGAAGGGTCATAAAAGTTGGGTGCATGATGCTATGGGCAGTGGCTGAAGGCGGGGACCTTGGCACTCTGACCCTGGCTAACCAAAGCTGGCTCTTGGAACATGGAATGTAAGGGGGGTGCTCCGTGACTATGGGATTGGAGGCCCATTGTAACGGGCTGTTCAGTCCCTATGCAAGCCGTGCGAGAGTTTAGGTCGCATTGCCGGTATTAAGTTGGACCCCTTCAGGGTGGGAGTTGGACTCTGCCAGGGATGCCCGTTGTCACCAATTCTGTTCATGAACTTTTAGGGACAGATTTTCTCGGAGCAGCCAGCTGGCAGAGGGTTTCCGATTTGGTGGCCTCAGGATTCCATCTCTGCTCTTTGCAGATGATGTGGTCCTGTTGGCGTCATCTCACTGTGATCTTCAGCTCTCACTGGAGCAGTTCAAAGCTGAGTGTGAAGGGCTGGGATGAGAATAAGCACCTCCAAATCTGAGGCCATGGTCCTCAACTGGAAAAGGGTGGGTTGCTCTCTTTGGGTCGAGGGTGAGGTTCTGCCTCAAGTGGAGGAGTTCAAGTATCTCAAGGTTTTGTTCACGAGTGAGGGAAGAATGGAGTGTGAGATTGACAGACGGATTGGTGCAGCATCTGCAGTATTGCGGACTCTGAACCAGTCTGTTGTGATGAAGAGAGAGCTGAGCTGTAAGACAAAGCTCTGTTTACCCGTCAGTCTACATTCCTACCCTCACCTATGGTCATGAGCTCTGGGTAATGACTGAAGAATGAGATTGCGGATACAGGCATTTGAAATTAGTTTCCTCCGCAGGGTAGCTGGACTCTCCCTTAAAGATAGGGTGAGAAGTTCAGTTATTTGGAAGAGACTCAGAGTAGAACCACTACTCCTCCACGTGGAGAGGAGCCAGTTGAGGCGGGCATTTGGGCATCTGGTAAGGATGCCCCTGGGCACCTTCCTAGAGAGGTGCTTCGGGCATGTCCAACTGGGAGGAGACCCCGGGGAATACTCAGGACATGCTGGAGAGACTATGTTTCTCAGTTGGCCTGGGAACACCTTGGAATCCTCCCACAAGAGTTAGAAGAGGTGGCTGTGGAAAGAGATGTCTGGGCCTCCCTGCTCAAGCTGCTGGGCCTGCAACCCCACTTTGGAATAAGCAGAAGATAATGGATGGATGGATGGATAAAATATTTTTAAATACTACCACCTGTCTGCTGGGATCAGGGTTCGGCCTTTGTGAGCAGGTGAGGCCAGGGTCCGGGCAATGGCCTTCTGTGACTCAGCAGCTCGTATGATCCTCTGTGGTGACCAGAAGTGCTCGAAGCCTGCAGAGCATGCAAGGCCGGGATCCAGAGCATGCAAAGCTGGGATCCAGAGCCCGTGCCCCGAGTCGGCAGCATGGAGGATTTTCCGCGGGTACCTGCGAGGCTTGGAGCCGGGGAGGTGACACCCTGCACGGCCTGATGGGGCTCCGAAGCTCCGGTGGAGGGGGCCGGGGATACCAGCGGAGCTCCATCTAGCTCGCTCAGAATTTTTTCGCCCGTTACCAGGCACAAAAGTTGCCTGCTCTTTAGCATTAGACAACAATGTTGTCATTATTGTTTTTAAATGGACTGTACAGCACCTTTCTATCTGATCAAGATTCTCAAAGCGCTTTACAACACAATCTGTGCCTCATTTACCCATTCATACAGCTCTCTACTAGATATCTACTAAGCTAATTGAACAAATCATTCTAAAGAGACTAATCAGTGCTTTATCACATTCATACACTGATGGGACACACATAGGAGGCAATGAGGGGTTCAGTGTCTTGCCCAGGGATACTTCGGCCTGTGACTGCTAGTGGATTCGAACCCCCAACTCTTGCATTGGAGGATGACTGCTCTAACCACTCAGCCACAGCCGCCCTCTTTTAAAGATTTTAAAATCCTTAAAATAGGTCCAGCCGCTCCTTGAGTTCGAACACTGATAATTGCAAATGGCAGATCTTGATGATATGAAAAGTTTCTCAACAGCCAGTGACTCCGCCCCCTGACCAATCAGTGACCGACAGTGTTCTGATATCATGTTTTGGTGCCGGCTCAGCTCAATTGGTACCACAGAGAAGAAGGGACCAAGAAAGTTGCCACTTCCACGAAAAAGTGCTAGTGGAAATGGGCTCAGAAGCGTAATGAACTGAGTCAAGCCATGCTGAAGGGGAGCAATGGAAAAGGGGCTTGTGTTCCTCCCTCATTTGGAAAAAAGTGTTGACTACAGCCATTTCTATTCTTTTGGCAAAATCCACCATCTGTCCTTCCTGGTTTCTTTCCCTGACACCAAACCTACCCATCACTTCCTCATCCCCTCTGTTTTCTTCACCAACATGTCCATTCAGGTCTACTCTGATCACCACTCTCTCCTCCCTGGGAATATTCTCTATCACTTCATCCAGATTTTTGCTAAATGTATCTTTCTCCTCTCCATCACATCCAACCTGTGGAGCATAACCACTGATGATGTTTAGCATCAGACCTTCTACTTCTACCTTCAGACACATCACCCTATCTGACACTCTTTTCACCTCTACTACATTCTTTGCCAACTCCTCCTTCAGGACCACCCCTACTCCATTCCTCTTTCTATCCACACCATGGTAAAACAGTTCGAACCCTGCTCCAATGCGGCGAGCCTTGCTGCCCTTCCACTTGGTCTCTTGGACACATAAAACATCGACATTCCTTCTCTGCATCATGTCAGCCAGCTCTCTACCTTTGCCTGTCATTGTCCCCACATTTAGAGTTGAAACCCTCAGTCCTACATTCTTGACTTTCCTCTTCTCCCTCTTTTTCCTGACATGTTTTCCTCCATGTGCTGTTAGGCAAACTAACAGTAACACAATTTCTGCTGGCACCGTTTGTCAACAGCACCAGTGGCGGTCATTGTTAACCAGGACCTCGACCAGTCCGGTATGGTTTCGCTTTGATGAACTTGCATTATGTTTTTAGCAAAAGTGTTTTGTGTCGGATGCTCTTCCTGACACAACCCTCACCATTTACCGGCACAAAAGATACACTGGCTTGTGCTCCCTAGTGGCTGGCTTTTTGATTTGATCTTCAAAGCTACAGAAAAAAGACACAACTTTTGCTCAGCACGACAAGATTCACAAAGTGATTAGCTGCCTAAAGTTATTCCACCATACCTCTATGATACCATTACTTTTTACAGATGGTGCCATTTTGCCTTTTCTTACTGACCTTATTACTAAAGCATTTCTCAGTGGGAAAGTCAGCACTATGAGCAATCACATCTTTGCTGGAGAGGACGGCGTAAGCCACAACCTGGATCTCTGGCGCCATGTCTGTAGACATTGTCAGCTTAAAGGACACCATACCATCATTTACTGAAAAAGAAACAGAATTACATGTGATATATTTGGCAAACAATCTAAAAAGCATACACAAATCTATAAAAAAAAAGGTATTTTTTTAAGTATTCAAATCTAAAGAGAATTGTTGTGATTCTAAAACCAAACGTACAATCTTTACACACCTGCTTTATCTTCCAATTGTACCTGTTTTCGTCCCTGGATGACAATTGCTCCTCTAGATAAAACCTGAGGATTTTTTAGAATAATTAATATGTAGCAGTAAATCATTTTTTACCTAGTCAGTGAATATGGACCAATTTGTTTTCTGTACCCACGTTGTTCTGTAAAAATCTTACGGGTCAGGGGTGAAGCTTGGGGTGCTGTGATGAATTGGCTTATTTTTAAAGCCACTTCATCGCATGATTAAATGAAACTCTCAAAAGGACCCTTTTTACCAGAAGAAGTGTCAGATATCTACATTGAGCTACATTTCATTTTAGTTATTGATAATGAAGAAAAGTCCTTTGGATATCCAATACAATTGTAAATATTCAAAACTACTAAAGTAAACATGTCAATAGGGTTATAGGGTTTGTGGTAGGAGGGTTAATAAAAAGTAGTTTAGTGATACTCACCAGATACACAATATCTACAGAACCCTTGGGTTCATGCACAAAAGTGTACAGAACACTAATCTCCTCTTCTTTATCACAAGAAAGTGTTGTATCCCTCTTTAACTCCAGTGAGCTGACTGTTTTGGTGTCATGAGAAGCAGGTTGGGAAATGGACACAGTGTGAGCTCCTATATCATAGTAAGCAGTTCTATATCCAGGATACTCCAGAGTTGGTGAGTTGCTTACCTGTTCATAAAAAATAAATAAAAAATATCAGGCTCCTTATAGATAAAACACAAGTTGAGAGCATTTGTTAATTTATTTTAAACAGTATAGATGACTGACTTGATTTCATGAAAAAGATGTAAAGTGACTGACCTTAGATCTGTGCCATACTTACATAGAGTTTCACATCTCCACTAAACGTGTCTGTGCTAAGAGAAAAGGTGGCAACACCATTTATGTCAGTTGTGAGATTCTGCACCAATTGTGCAGACCACCTTTCACCCGTAAACAGGTAGAGCTGCATGTTACCAATGGATGTGCCATTGTAATGCACTGCTTTAACCTGTGGAAAAAGTGTTAGATTACTGAGGCTGTAAAATACATTACCCGGTTTTGTGTATTACAAGTCATAAATATGTAAAGTGAAATGTACTTACCTTTCCTTCTATATTTTTTCCTTGTTCATAAATCTTGGGAGTGTCAACAAAGGTGATATTTCCAATAACATATGATATCCTTATGTTATTCCTTTGTGAATGTGAAACACCTGAATATAACAAGCCATATGTCAGTTATATTAAAGTCAGTATTATAATTCTCATTTAAAGAAAAAGTATGGTAATAGTTTTACATGATGTCAGCTAAAACATTACTTAAAGTACCTCATCAGCTGTGGCATAAGTCATAAAGCATAAAGTATGAAGAAAAGTCCTGAATGGGCCCAAAACCAACCAAAATCAGTTTTCTGGCTTATAAAAACAAATCTCCCAGAAAGAACATATCAGTGTGAAAGACGGATACATTTAACTACTATTAAACTTTTACACTTTTGCATGACCTTTGTTTAGTTTGTTGCTATTTTCTCAACAAAATCTTCTGTGCTACTGTACTACTAATGTGTGTTGTGCATAAATTGTGTATATGCCAATAATATTGAGGCTGTAAATGTATCAGTCTTCCTGATCTGCACATCTAGTTAGGCCATGAGTTACTAAACTCTCAGAATCAGCATATATACAACTTCTGCTCAGCAAACATATTCACATAATAACACGTACAATGGTTGAGAGAACAGCAGCAAACTAAATGTAGATGTTTCACATTAGCTAATGTAGTGTTTTTCACACAAATATTTTGAATGGTTGATAAGCCTGAGGGGCTCTTCTTTGGCTAGCCATTAGCTGTGCCTAGCCAAAGACTTCTGCCCTTTTCTCTAAACTCCGTGCTCTAACTAATGTCAAGATTATTAAGTAACTGACTCGAAACTAACTACTGAAAACTTTTAAACAGAAAAACACTCCCAAAAATGAGCAGACCATTTCTTTTAGAAAAGGAGTGTGGTATAAAAGGAAGACTCGCCTGTTCCCTCCTCTTCCACCATGGCACTGATGTCAAATCGATCCTCCAATACCTTTTTGTCAATTTTGGTGAAAGTTGATATCTTGAATTCAAATGTAGCACATCCTGTTTTATCTGTCTAGAATGTACAAAGATAGGAGGACATGTGGATAGACAATGTGAAAACACTGAAATTTAGGATTAGAAAATGACTAACTTGACTTTAGCAAATGTGTTTAGATAATCCTGAGTAAAATTATCCGATAATTATTAACTTCTGGGTAAAATAGTTTATCGGAAATAATTTTGTTTTGTTGTTTGCACAGTGAATGATTTATTGGACTGTTCTGTTGCTCCTCATCACTAGAGCGTACAGTTATGACAGTGTAAGGCAGAAGAGACTAATGGAAGAAGGGAGTGAATAATACAGAAAGTCAAGTTCTGTATGATTGTCAGCAATTGTTGGAATAATTCCATCTATCCATCCAATGTCTGCTTCTTGTTACAGAGACAAGTTCCAGGGTAGCAGCTTGAGCAGAGACCCACACATATTTCTACAGCCACCTCTTCTGGGAGGACTCCAAGGCATTCCCAACCCAGCTGAGAGACACTCTCTCCAGAGTGTCCTGGCTCTTCCCTAGTCTCCCTAGGGAGACATCCAAAGAGCATCCTTACCAGACACCAACCTGAATTAGCTCCACTCATTGTGGAGGAGCAGGGGCTCTGCTCAGTTTCTCTTGGAAAAATCAGATTCCACCCCATCTCTAAAGGAAAGAACAACAACCATGATAAGAACTAATTTTGATAGTTTGTGGCTACAATCTTGTCCTTTCAGTCACTATCTAAAGTTTGTGGCCATAGATCACAAAATGAACATAGATTGATCAATAGGCTGAGCTTTGTCTTGAAGCACAACCATTTCTTCACCACACGACAACAGTACCAAGTATGCAATACTGAAGAACCCACTGTCGATCTTGTAGATCATTCTGATAAATTATTGTGTTTGTGCTATGTATGGACTACAACAGATACCATACTTGCAAGAAGTATGTACAGTATGCTCATGAGGTTATAGGTCAATCTCTTGTCTGATGCTGCTTGTTCATCACTACTCGCTGATAGGGTGATGTAAGATAGTTGCTGCCAGTTCTAAATAAAGTGACAAAACTCAAGTATGGACTCTTCACTCATTTGGATATGTCAGAAGATGGTATGGATCAGTCGTCTACGTTTTTTTTTGGAGGGGTGCCGAGGTTGGCCAAGGACAGTGCCAGTGAGAATCCAAGAGTCCTGAAATGATGACACAATGTTTATTCAGTCGGTTCCCTCTGATTGGTCCGTGGACTTCCTCAGCAGTGGGGGGGGGGGGGGGGGGGGCAGATTTACAGAGCCTCCTTGCAAATTGAGATAAGGTGGCCTGCCAAGGCCAGCCGAGGGAGCCAAATTCAGGTAAACAACATTTGTTATGGAGACAGGCAGAACTTTACTGATTTATATCTGCCTTGAATCTTTGCTGGTCTCACGAAGATTTCAAAACATCCAAATTAAGTGTACACACCACTGGTCCGTGCCTGAGAATATTCCCCAAGATCTGATACATCCATCCATCATTTTTTTTTCTATAGAGATGAGTTAGTAATGGAGTATGGCATCATCATCAAAGGTCACAGAACTGTCATCACAGAGTCCTTACAGCAAGAATGCATCACCATCATGCACAGGAGCCACCCAGGCTTTGAAGCCACAAAGTGCAGAGCTAGAGGCATAGTACTTTGGTCAACTATCAACAAAGACATTACAAAATAACTGCTCTCCTACACAGTATGTAACAGTACCTGACCACACCAGCAGTAGGAAGCCTTAAAACCACACTCGGTACATGCTCTGCTCTGGTCAATAGTCACCACAGACATGTTTGAGTGGCATGGACAACAGTACGTTGCTATATGACTCATACTCAGGATGGTTTGAAATTGACCTTCTCTGGGATATATCGTCAGCAACTACAATCACAAAATTTAGAAATGTTCCTGTCCATGGAGCACCTCACACTCTGATTTCTGGCAATGCTAGACAGTACACCAGTCAGCGTTTCAAAGTGTTTGCTGAGCAGTGGGATTTTGTTCACGTAACAAGCAGCCCTGAATCCCCACGATTGAATGGACTGGCTGAACGGGGCACTCTATAGTGCTAAGCAGCTAATGGAACAGTCTCATAAGGATGTGACAAACATTTTTCTCAACTTACTGAACATCAGGAATGTCCCTCGTGACAAAATATTGGACTCAACTGCAGAGCACCTAATGTCCAGACAGACATGCTCAACATTTCCTGTCAACACCACACTGCTGGCACCTGCCCCAAAGAACAGAAAACATACTGTATCTCTATGCATCTCAAAAAGAAAATACTAATTCAAAAGCAATACTATGATGCAACTAGTCACCCACTAATGCCGCTTGCAGAAGGACAAGTCATCAGGTTGCAGATGACCAAGGGACAGAACCATCTTGGCACAGTAAATTCAAATTCAAAAATACTTTATTAATCCCAGAGGGAAAATAAATGTTGTTTTAACTCATCATCCTGGTTTCATTAAAGAGTTGTTATAGATGCTGATGGCTGTGGGCAGGAAGGATCTCTTGTAGCGGTCTGTCCTACAACAGATCTGAAGAAGCCTCTGACTGAAGACACTCTGTTGTTGTATGACAGTCTGATGAAGAGGATGCTGAGGGTTGTCTATAATGTTCTTCATTTTTTGAAGAATCCTTTTTTGTACAATCATCTCCAAAGGTTCTAGAGGAGTCCCCAGAACTGAGCCAGCCTTCTTTATGAGCTTGTTGATCTTTTTTAAGTCACTTGCTCTGGTGCTGCTACCCCAGCAGATGATGGCAGAAGAGACGGCACGCTCTACAACAGACTTATAGAAGATATGCAACATCTTGCTGCAAACATTGAAGGACTTCAGCTTTCTCAAGAAGTACAGTCTGCTCTGTCCCTTCTTGTAAATGGCTTCACTGTTGCATCTCCAGTCCAGTCTGCTGTCTAGGTGAACCCCGAGGTATTTATACTTCTCCACCACCTCCACTTCATCTCCCATGATGGAAATAGGGTTGGACCTGTTCCTGTTTCTCCTTAAATTTACAATCATCTCCTTTGCTTTGTTCACATTCAAGATGAGATGATTGTTTCCACACCATACTACAAAGTGGTCCACCAGTTTCCTGTACTCAGCTTCGTGTCCATCTCTGATACACCCGACCACTGCAGAGTCATCTCAATATTTCTGCAGATGACAGGAGTCTGTTTTGTACTGGAAATCTGAGGTGTACAGAGTGAAAAGGATTGGTGAGAGTACAGTTCCCTGTGGTGCTCCTGAGCTACTGACCACCTGGTTAGACACACAACCCTTCAGTCTCAAAAACTGTGGTCTTGTTTGTCAGGTAGTCTTTGATCCAGGTGATTGTTGAGGCCTCCAACTGAGTCTTCTGGAGTTTCTGATAAAGCAAATCAGGCTGGATTGTGTTAAATGTACTGGAGAAATCAAAGAACATGACTCTCACAGTGCTGTCTGCCTTTTCTAGATGACAGTGAGTTTGCTGAAGCAGGTGTATAATGGCATCTTCAACTCCAAGTCCATGCCAATAAGCAAACTGCAGTGGGTCCTGATATGTGCTTGTTTGTTTAGTCAGGTGGGCCAACAGAAGAGTCTCTAGGACCTTCAGGCTGTGGGATGTCAGGGCAACAGGTCTATAGTCATGAGGACTGATGGGTGAGTTTTATTTGGTACTGGAACAAGGCAGGATGTTTTCCACAACACTGGAACCTTCTCCTGAGTCAGGCTAAGGTTGAAGAGATGCTGCAGAACCCCACAGAGCTGCTCTGCACAGACTTTCTGGACTCTGGGACTGACACCATCTGGATCTGCAGCCTTATAACAGTGAAATGTCGGCCACATTATCTACCCCGAGAGTTCACAGTGACTTTCATCTCTGTCGTCTACATTCCTCCAGACGCTAATGCTAATGAATCACTGCAGGAGCTTCATGATATTATCAGCTCGCTGCAAAACAAACACCCCGAGGCTCTTTACGTGGTAGCCGGAGACTTTAACCACGTGAATCTAAAGGACTGCCTCCCAAGCTTTTATCAACATGTGGCGATTCCAACACGTGGAGACCACACGCTGGACCGTGTTTACACGAACGTAAAAGATGCATACAAAGCCGAACCCCGCCCCCACCTAGGACTGTCAGACCACATCTCAATCTTCCTGGCTCCTGCTTACATGCCCCCGCTGAGACGCTCAAGACCGGTACAAAAGAAAGTTAAATGCTGGATCCAGGACAGTGGCCCCATACTGAGAGATTGTTTTGACCGAACAGGCTGGCAGGTTTTCAGAGAAGCTGCTGAAAATGGAGGTTCGCTTGATCTTGACCAATACACATCCTCAGTTCTGGGTTACATTAGTACATGTACTGACACCGTCTCCACTATCAGAAATGTTAAAAGCTACCCAAACAGAAAACCTTGGCTGAATGTAGAGGTACATACCCTGCTGGAAGCCAGGAACACTGCCTTCAGGTCTGGAAACTCACAGGAGCTGAGTAGGACAAGAAAAGAGCTGGTTGCTGGTATTAAGAGGGCCAAGGGCACATATGCAAAGAGGATCGAGGGTCAATTCATCTCACAAGACCCTCGGAGCATGTGGAGGGGCATTAAGTGCATAAGAGATTATAAAGGAAGGAGCGAACAATGCCCCAAAGACCCATCTCTGCCTGATGCCCTCAACAAGTTCTATGCATGCTTTGAAGACCCGAACAGACCACCCAGCACCAGACTCACCTCACCACCGGATGAAGAGCATCTCAGCGTGACCTCAGCAGAAGTAAGGAGTACCTTCAGGAGGATTAATCCGCACAAGGCAACTGGCCCAGACAACATCCCCGGAAAAGTGTTGAAGGAATGTGCTGATCAGCTCTGTGAGGTGCTGGCAGACATCTTTAACACCTCACTTACCCTGGAGACAGTTCCCACCTGCCTGAAGACTGCCACCATCATCCCAGTCCCAAAAAGCTCTACAGTGACTGGTCTGAATGACTATCGGCCAGTGGCCCTCACCCCGATAGTCGCTAAATGCTTTGAAAAACTGGTCATGACTCACATCAAAACAACCATCAACATCAACGAGGACCCTCATCAGTATGCATACCGTGAGAACCGATCAACAGAGGATGCCATCTCCTCTGTGGTCCACACTGCGCTCAACCACCTGGAGCAGAAAAACTCTTGCATCCGTATGCTCTTTGTGGACTTCACATCCACCTTCAACACCATGATCCCCCAAACCCTGATGGACAAACTATCCACACTAGGACTAAGCCCCTCCATTAGCAACTGGGTACTAGACTTTTTAACAAACAGACCACAGTCAGTGAGGATCCACAACCTCTCCTCCTCCACCATAACCCTCAGCACTGGCTCTCCTCAGGGATGTGTGTTGAGCCCCCTCCTGTTTACTCTGCTCACGTATGATTGTGCAGCTACCCATCCAGGCTGTCACATTGTAAAGTTTGCAGATGATACGGCGGTGGTGGGATGCATCACAAACAATGATGAGTCCAGCTACAGGCAAGAGGTGGAACACCTGGAGAGCTGGTGCAAAGAGAATAACCTTCACAACAATGTGAAGAAGACAAAGGAGATTATTGTGGACTTCAAAAGGAACAAAAACATCTACACCCCCCTGAACATAAGAGGATCTGCGGTGGAAGTGGTCTCCAGCTACAAGTACTTGGGTGTACACATGAATGACAACCTCAGCTGGAGCAACAACACCACCAGCCTGATCAAGAAAGCTCATCAGAGACTCTACTTCCTCAGACGGCTGAGGCGAGCTGGTCTGGGAAGCTCAGTCCTCACCTCCTTCTGCAGGTGTGCAGTGGAGAGCATCCTGTGCTCCAGCATCAACGTGTGGCATGGAGGCTGCACAGCTACAGAAAGAAAAGCTTTGCAGAGAGTGGTGAAGGCTGCACAGAAGTCTGTCGGAATAAGCCTCCCCACCATCACAGACATCTACACCTCCAGATGCAGGAAGAGGGCCACCTGCATCATGAAGGACCCCACTCACCCAGCACACACACTTTTTGCCCCACTCCCCTCAGGAAGGAGGTTAAGGAGCATTAAGTGTAGAACCACTAGACTGAGGAACAGCTTCTACCCTGAGGCTGTTAGACTCATGAATCTCTAAGTACAGTAGAATAATCACTGTGAAAAACCATATCATGTTGCTGCTGATCTGTTTCATGTTGCTGCTGATCTGTTTCAATGTTGATGTGTTCATGCGTGCACATCTGCTTACAGACTCATGTTCATGTTTGTGCTGATGTTCAATGTTTTATGTTATGAGTGCTTAGTGTATATTTAGTTGATGTTATTCTTAGTTCATATCTTAGATGTTATTACTGTTTTTCTTAGACATTTTATTGTTGGATGTAACTGGGACCTTGTGTACATAATTTCGCTCCACCACATGTACCACATGAGGTGCGAATGACAATAAAGAAACTCTGACTCTGACTGACTCTGACTTATTCTGGTTCAGTCTCTCCAGAGCTGCTTCCTCACCTGACTTCTGGAGATGCGGGGGGGGGGGGGTGCAAAGGAGGTATCAGCATCTTCTGATTTGGTTGAAGACCAATAAGTAGAAGAAGAAGGGTCCATGACCGAGGTGGTAGATAAAATATTTGAGGTGTGACAGGACAGCTTTGGGTCAAAGGAGGGTGGTATATCTGTTTGGCTGTGGGAAAGAGAGGATGCTGCTGAGCTTGTTCCTGAACTGAACTTATTGAAGATCGTGTTCAGTTCGTTGGCTCTGTCCAGGCTTCCATCCTCTTGATCCTCCTTCTGCTTCAAGCCTGTGATCTTTTTCATCCCTGACCACACCTCTCTGATATTGTTCTGCTGGAGCTTGCTCTCCAGCTTCTTCTTGTACACTTCCTTGCTGTTTCTGATCTTGACTTTTAGTTGCTTCTGTGTGCTCCTCAATAATTCCCTGTCTCCCTCCCTGAAGGCTCTTTTTTTCTGGTTTAGCAGTTCCTTCAGGTCAGTGGTGATCCAGGGTTTGTTACTGGGGAAGCATCTCACTGTTCTGGTGGGGATGGTGTTGTTTACACAGAAGTTTATATAGTCGGTCACACACTCAGTCATGGCATTGATGTTCTCTCCATGTGGCTGGCACAGTGCATCCCAGTCTGTAGCCTCAAAACAACCCCACAGGGCTTCTTCAGCTTCCATTGACCATTTTCTCACTGTTCTCTTTATTGCAGGTTGCCTCTGAACAAGGAGTTTATATTTTAAAGGAGGTCTGCGAAGAGCCACACTCCTACATCATCAAATCCAATGGCGGCAACTACAGGACAAATCATCACCACATTATGTCTGTTGTTGAGCCGCCGCAACCTCAACGGATCGACCCTGCAGACATTAGTTCCAAACAAACTAACCAAGCCACCCCAGATACTCTCTCTTCCACACCACAGTCCCGGCAAATACTGTACGTAGACCAACACAGGTGCCTGCAGAGCATGCTAGTGAGCAGCAGACCCCTGCGGCTTGCTCTGCTACCAAGTCACATGTCACAGCAATTCCTCGTGTAACACACTCACATCACATGTGAAAGCCAAATCCAAAGTACAGTGACTGAGTTATAAAATTTTGGGAAAAAATGAAGGCATTAATGTTTTGTTTCATACAGAAGTACAATTTTGCTTGTTCGTTACAGATAATGTTGGAATGACTGCTAATTTCTATTGTTTGAAGTAATATCCAACATTAAGTATTCAGTGTTATTTTCACTCACATAGCCCATTCTGATTTCACAGGAGACACCAACAAATAGTAGAGATTATAGATCATTCTGATAAATGATTGTGTCTATGCTAGGTATGGACTATACCAGATACTGTAGTTCCTAGAAGTGCGCATGCTCAAGAGGTTCTAGGTCAGTCTCTTGTCGGATGTCACATGTTCATCACCACTCACTGATACGGTCATGTAAAATAGTTGCTGCCTGTTCTAAATAAATTGACTAAATTATGAACTTCTCACGGGCAGCACGGTGGCGCAACTGGTAGAGCTGCTGCCTCTCAGCGAGCAGGTCCCTTGTTCAAAACCCCGGTCCGGGGGCCTTTCTGGGTGGAGTTTGCATGTTCTCTCCGTGCATGCGTGGGTTTTCTTCGGGTACTCCGGTTTCCTCCCACAGACCAAAAACATGCATGTTAGGCTGATTGGTAACTCTAAATTGTCCCTAGGTGTGAGTGAGAGAGTGAATGGTTGTTTGTCTCGTTTGTCTCTATGTGTCCCTGTGATGGACTTGCGACCCGTCCAGGGTGTCCCCCGCCCCTCGCACAGTGATTGCTGGACATGGGCACCGGCGACCCCCGTGACCCAAAAATGGAATAAGCGGGTAAAGAAAATGGATGGATGGATGAACTTCTCATTCATTTCAACAGATCTCAAGCCTAATTCTATCCTCACTCTTAACCAAAACTCAGAGATAATCAAATTTCTCCATTAAGGCAGCACCTCACTCCCAACCCTACAAAGGCAATCAGCCCTTTTCTAACAGAGGACAGTGGCCTATGTTTTGGAGGCGTTACTCTTAGCTTATCAGTGCTTCTCCACATTCAGTTGTCACTGCTTCACTGAGAGCTGGAGATCCAAATACAAAGACACCAACCACATCAACAGCCCGATTAGTGTTATGTTCAATTAAATTCACCTAATAAAAAAAGTGCTATTAATTTCAAAGTAAAATAACTTACAAGAACATTTAGATATATACATGATAGCAAAAAGACCATGTTAGGTTTGAGAAACTATGGATAATGCCCCCCCACCCCCACCCCCAGAATTCCTTACTTTTTAACTTAGAAAAACATTGTGCAAAACTGAACACAACAAATTCTACCTCTTTTGTTTTTGTGTTTCTTGGCTCAGTTATCTCGAGTTCTTCTGGAGTTCTAGGTTGTACTCCAAAAAAGTAGTGTACAATAGGTCGGGACACCTGAACAATAACAAGTCCTGGCACAGGCTGTCCATATGTGTACCTAATTAAAGTAGAACAGATTGGTGAGTCATTCACTCAACAAAAAGAACCAACCTAATTAATTTAATAATAATTTTATTTTATTTCTAATATTTTAAAATGAATTTACTTACTTTGCACATACTTCAACATCAAATTCTTCTGACCCAATACTTACGTCATCTTTTACATTTAATGTTATGGCAAATTTGGGCAAAACTGGAAAAAAAATGGTGGTTACTATAGTATTTAGATATAACTAGAAAAATACATTTTTTAATTTCTAAAAATATTACCAACATACCATACTTTTCCACCTTGAAGCTGTGATGTGTTTTTCTTTCACCTACTGAGACAATAATTTCGTAAGTTCCTTCACGAGCCTCAGAGTTCAGGGAATAAGAAAGCTGTAGTATTTTGCTATTGGACGTTTCATTGAGCCACTGTCCAATCCTGTTGTCAAAGGGATCCTGTTCAAAAAGTAAAAATAATAAATAAAAATGAGCAGTGATATTCTTCAAATGTTGCAATTTTAATGCCTTCAGTTACAGTTCAGTGACAAAAATACATTTTGATACAATCATTTAAAATTTCTTTGCTATCAGCATGACCCATTTTCAACTACATTGACCCATGACATTTTTCCTAGCCAGCCTACTTTTCGTAATGTGTATTAAAATTTTGTGTACTTTCTTACCTTCATTTCAATGATGTTATACTGCGAGACAAAAGAAAAAAAGGAAGTTAGCTTTTGAATAATAAAAATAAATCAACAAATAACTGATGGACAAAAAAAAGAAATTCAGGGACAAAGTCTCATTTTCTTTCTTTCTTCTTTCATTAGGAGATTAAAAAATGGGGGGAGTATGATGATTTTAAAAAATAATATTGAATATTTAGTATAAAATTGGTGCAAAAATATTTTTGGAGGATCTTCTAAGTCTGACCAAGTTTATCTTTTTCCTCACCTTTTGTTTTGTTTTATTATATGAAAAAATTAACTTTTTTATTTTGCTGTGACCTAAATCATTGAGTTCAAAACTTTCAAACACACGATGCACAGAGTACTTGTGGCAGAGAGGCAAGTGTTTTTGCCCAAAGTATTTAGGCCAAATAAGTATAATGATACCACTACCTGTATCAACCACCGTTTAAGAATTATTCAATCTCCATCCACACAGAAACTTTATTTTGTTACAGATGTTTATTTTTATTGTGATTTTTTTCCTCTCATTTTAGTCTTGGGCTCATTCAGAAATGGCAGAGCCCCCACAACATAAAAAGAGAAGGGAAAATAATTTAAAACTTAAATCACTCACATTGTTTTGTGTAAACAACTAAAACATAAAAATGTCATATTCACACCTCCTGCCTAACCTATGAACCTATACCAGTGGTTCCCAACCCTGGTCCTTGAGGAACACCACCCTGCATGTTTTAGTTGTTTCCCTGCTCCAACACACCAGATTTAGTGATTTAATTACTTCAAGTTCTGCAGAAGCCCATTAATCACCCGTTCATTCAAATCAGGTGTGTCAAAGCAGGAAAACAACTAAAACATGCAGGATGGTGTTCCTCAAGGAGCAGTGTTGGGAATCACTGCCCTATACAATGATTGTTGACATGCTTGCATTTGTGTTGCAGTTACTGGTTTCTCAATTACAGCAAAACCTTTTTGTATGGTCTTCAATGAGCAAAGTGACTAACAAAAACTGTTTTAAATAGAACAGAGCATAACACTCCTTATTACACCAAATAATCTAAAGCTAAAAGGGTTTCGTTAAAAGTATTTTCAACAATACTGAAGCAACTGTTGTAAAGTAAACCTTCCCCAGTGTTCCTCAATGGACACTGGGTTTTCTAATCCTCCATGTTTTCCAGTCAATACCATCCTGTAATGTTGTGATTTTGTAATTTATTGTGACACATAGTCAATGTTTCATTTCGTCATTCCACAAAAATTGATATTTGCTTTTGAATTTTCCATCCTCTTTTTGTTTCTTGTGTTTACAGTTTTTAAGTTTTATGCACATGCTCCACGTCATTTCCCTGTTTCTTATATGTATGTGGCATGGTGTAGATTTGTGTTACAGCATCACACACAGGCCTGGCATAGTTACTACAGCCGCTTGGATCATTTGGTGCATTTCGATGTGGATCAAAACATTTCTGGAAACTTGCTGCTAACAAGAGTAATATTAGAAACAATAAATGAAAGTTCATTTTGGAAAATATCTCAGTGTACAAGGCCTTGGATAACTACATTTTATCTATTAGAAAATAGACAAATTTAGCATTTTTAATTAAACATTTTGTAAATCGAGGGAAGACCCCAAAGTTGATGTCCCACAACTAACAGTGAGGTTCCAACGCTAAATTTGGAAAACACTGGACAAGAGATCAAAGTTCATGCTCAATAATCCAGATAAAAAAATCCAACAAAGTTGTTAGGTCACACAGTGTGAATAAGTGTGAGGAAGCCACTTATGGGACTGAGTTTGTTGTGGCTCCTCGGACTGATGAAGTCCTTTGGATGAAGAAAGAAATGTTTCAACAAAAAAAGAAACCGTCCAGATGACCTGACTTAACTTTGTTGGGCTGGACAAGAGCTTTTTAAAAGTTTTCTGATTTCAGGAAAAACATAAAAATAAAAAAACACCACGATTTACTAAGTACTTTCTCTCAAGGCTTTGACACATTTTTGCTAAATGATAACGTTGTAAAATAATAAAGTTTTTAGCATCTGCTAAAAACATACAAGAAAGATAAGTCAGCACGTGCAAGTTTATCTAAACAGGCTTTGAATTATTAATTAATTGTAGACATAAAGCGACTTTTAGTAAAGAGCATGTGAGCTTTGATCATCCGTGTTTTCAACTGCAGAACTATTTTGTTTAACTCCACTCGATGGGACCAGACTAACGAACATGTCAGATACAAAAACACATTCATAGCTAGGCTTGTGTTGTTGCAAAAGAATAACTGTTTCAGATCCAGACTTTCTTTTCCGTTTTCTAGATGTAGCATTTTCATCATAGATATGTTTTAAAATACCCAAAAAGCAACATCATCATCATTCAATGTTTAAAATCTGATGTGTTTTATGTATTTTGCAAATGTGATTGCAAACAAAGATTACCTGGGTATTACTAGTTATTGCTGTTCAGTAGACAGAAAATGAAAACTGGTTAAAAACAAACAAAGCAACAACAACAAAAACCATCTTGTTCCTTTACTGCAAACCGTGCATGTTCATAATTATGTGTAAAGCTCATGTTGCAGATCACAGAAAATCCTGCACACTACCCTCATGTCATCCTTTATTGCATTTATGCTGTAAAACATTGGTTTAAAAAATGGAACATGAAATACTCACCAGCTCATTGGCAAGTCTTAACTTGGAGTCCAATGTGACAACTCTGAAATGCACTGATGATTACAAAAAAACAAAAACAACACTATTGACATGCTGAACTTAGGACTTTTCAGTAAACAAATGATTAGAAGTAAACCATTTAAATTAGAAGCTCTGGTCTACAAGTACTGTTAACGGTTTGTTGCAGAAGAAGCCACAGCTCATAGTTACCCGTCTGTCCAGGGAGGTAGATGGGTTTATCCGTTTGGATAAAAGTTTTTGGTTGATAGGCTTTGATCATGACTTTTCTGGCTTCTTTTGAGTGAAATGTGTTTCCTCGTACCTCCACCTCAAATGTCTGCACCTCTTCATTTGTTACTAAAGGAACCTGTGACAGAAAGAACTTTAAAACTTTTCAGATCGACATTACAGCTGATCACAAAATGTCTGTTTTCTCAGTCTTACAGAATATTTGAATATTACATTTTAAATGTATTTCTTGACATAACAGATGCAAGACCATTGTGAGTGTTAACCTGAAACTGAATGCAGTCATGAAACTCTGTGCTGGAGGTCTTCTCATACAGAGTTGTGTTCTTGTCTTGGGACCTCAAAGTGACAGTCATGGCCAACATTTCATTGGGCTCCAAGAGGTTCACACAGAATTTAGTCTCAGCTCCAGCCTCAAGAACTGCAGGTATGGTCACCATGTAATGTCTACAGGGAAAAAACTCACACGAGTTACGTCACTCGCCTGATTTGACATTGAAACACAAATCTGTGTTCAGTTTATACACTTGTTTAAAACATAAACTGTAAATATTCTCTTGTTTTAATACTTTTATTAATATTTGATTTAAAACTTACGGTACTGTAGCTGGTTGAGCAACAGATATCCCACACCAAAGGACACAAAGGATCCATGTCCACATCTGACTCGCAGGGCGACCCATGACTGACTGCAATGATCTGCAAAGTAAACATCTGTTATATAGACTGCAGACAGCAGGAGCACCTCCCAGTTTCACCCACACAGCACACACCCACCCTTATCTGACCTTTAGTTTGATTTCAAGGAACCTCACCAATCAGACACAACTATTTACATTTTGAATGTTGGGGTAGTGCATGAAATGGCTGCAAAGTAAATCCCATTAGTTGTTTTCTGAACCTATACGCGATCTCCTGTGAGAGCTATTTTTGAACAAGATGAGTAAAATCCCTTCAAATCATACAATACAGTTTCTAAAAGGTCCTTCAACTTTATGTTGGCAAGTGTTGTTTAAAAGAACTCCACAGGCAGGCACAGAGATAGACCAACAAAGTTGTTTTTTTTTATGAATAAGAATATCTTGTCAAGAATCAACAACTAAAGAAAGATGGATGGATGGATGGATGGATG